CGCGAGGTAGCATTAAACAGTTAATTTGCATTTTTCCTGAAATTGTAGGTCATGTTTGAGATATACAGGTATAACAGTTTGGTTATGAAAACTACATCATTACATGTACATATATTTATAAACTTCCTCACAATTACATTAATAGAAGAGAGATAAAATTTGAGTAAATCAAAAAAATCCACTGATTTCTGACATGTGATAGTCATGGTTACCAACCGAATAAAATGCTAAAAATGCCAAAATACTGCTAATTCCAACCTAACACTACAACTTTATACAAGAAATTTATTTCTGAACACCTGTTTTAAAATCAACAACAGTGTCATGGTAACAAAGTACTTACATATCAGCAAATTCCAATTCGGAAATCCTTGACAACATGACCACATCTAAACACTATGAAATTTGACATCCAGTAAAGCTAGTTTTTGGTGCGTAGACACAGATTCAAGACTACCAAAATATTAATCTCAGACGCAAAACTAAAATACTATTTTGAAAAAAAATGAAACCCCAAATTGTCCACTCGAACATGACAAGACTAATTTTAACAAGGATTTATTCTTTTAAATTTTAATTAAAACCTTTATAATGGGCAATCCAATGAACAGAAATATCATCCAGGCCACTCCGAGAAACTGTGTACTTCTGTCTATAGGAGTAGAGTGTAACATTCTAAGTGCTTCTGCTATTACATGGTTCATAAGAGGCGACTTAATTTTGTTCTGTCTTTCTAAACAACTCTTCGTTCCTACTGTCTCTCTTAGCAACTGCTTCATACTGTCACTGTAAAAACAACTACTTCACACTGTCTCTAAAAAGAACTACTTCATACTATCTCTAAAAAGAACTACTTCATACTATCTCTATAAACAACTACTTCATATTGTCTATCTAAACAACTACTTCATACTGTCTCTCTAAACAGACACTTCACATTGTCTCTCTAAACAACTACTTCATACTGTCTCTCAACAACTACATCATACTGTCTCTCTAAACAGACACTTCACATTGTCTCTCTAAACAACTACTTCATACTGTCTCTCAACAACTACATCATACAGTCTCTCTAAACAACTCTTCGTTCATACTGTCTCTCTAAATAACTACTTCATATTGATTCTGTAAACAACTACTTCATACTATCTATTTAAACAACTACATCATACTGTCTCTCTAAACAAGTATTTCATACTGTCTCTCTAAACAACTACTTCATACTGTCTTTCTAAACAACTACTTCATACTGTCTCTATTAACAACTAATCCATACTGTCTCTCTAAATAACTAATTCATATTGATTCTCTAAACAACTACGTCATACTGTCTCTCTAAACAACTACTTCATACTGTCTGTCTGAATAACTACTTCATACTGTCTCTCATAACAACTAATTCATATTGATTCTCTAAACAACTACGTCATACTGTCTCTCTAAACAACTACTTCATACTGTCTGTCTGAATAACTACTTCATACTGTTTCTCTTAACAACTAAATCATACTGTCTCTCTAAACAATTACTTCTTACTGTCTCTAAGCAACTACTTCATACTGTCTCGAAACAACTACTTCATACTGTCTCTCTAAATAATTACTTCATACTGTCTCTTTAAACAACTACTTCTTACTGTCTCTAAACAACTACTTCATACTATCTCTCGAAACAACTACTTCATACTATCTCTCTAAATAATTACTTCATACTGTCTCTTTAAACAACTACTTCTTACTGTCTCTAAACAACTACTTCTTACTGTCTTTCTAAACAACTACTTCATACTGTCTCTATTAACAACTAATCCATACTGTCTCTCTAAATAACTAATTCATATTGATTCTCTAAACAACTACGTCATACTGTCTCTCTAAACAACTACTTCATACTGTCTGTCTGAATAACTACTTCATACTGTCTCTCATAACAACTAATTCATATTGATTCTCTAAACAACTACGTCATACTGTCTCTCTAAACAACTACTTCATACTGTCTGTCTGAATAACTACTTCATACTGTTTCTCTTAACAACTAAATCATACTGTCTCTCTAAACAATTACTTCTTACTGTCTCTAAGCAACTACTTCATACTGTCTCGAAACAACTACTTCATACTGTCTCTCTAAATAATTACTTCATACTGTCTCTTTAAACAACTACTTCTTACTGTCTCTAAACAACTACTTCATACTATCTCTCGAAACAACTACTTCATACTATCTCTCTAAATAATTACTTCATACTGTCTCTTTAAACAACTACTTCTTACTGTCTCTAAACAACTACTTCTTACTGTCTCTAAACAACTACTTCATACTATCTCTCTAAACAACTACTTCTTACTGTCTCTCTTTACAACTACTTCATACTGTCTCTCTAAACAACTACTTCATACTGTCTCTCTAAACAACTACTTCATACTATCTCTATAAACAACTACTTAATACTGTCTCTCTTTACAACTAATTCATACTGTCTCTCTAAACAACTAATTCATACTGTCTCTCTAAACAACTACTACATACTGTCTTTCTAAATAACTACTTTATGCTGTCGCTCTAAGTAATTACCTCTTGGTATGACCCCCTTTGAATAAATTTTGATTAGTTTAAGCAAGTTTTATGGGCGTCCCTGTGTTTGTCAGTGTTAATATTGTATCATATTGTGTTTGTCAGTGTTAATATTGTAACATAGCTTGTGTTATTTTTTGTATTTTAGCGTTCGAACCTGTTAGGAATGCGTTGCGAGTGAAAACGTGCTCCACAGTGTAATTCTCTCCTACATTTCTATTGTGTATATGACAGTAAAGATTCCAGGTAAATAAGCAAGAGTTGGTGAAATCTTCCACTTTATATCACTAGTTATAGTAAAGTTAAGCCCTTCTGTTTCACTCTGAACCTAAGTTGTCTTCTGATAAAAAATAAGTGAAGAAAAAGACAGATTTACTTTAACATTGGGGAATTTATTTCACTCTAATGAAAAAGAGGTTCCTGCCACCATATAACTCCACTACGTGTATAATATCAGTAAAACACGTATGTGTGAGACATCAGCCACGTGTATTATTGTAAATAACATAACACAGAAAACCACACAGTTACAGAGAATGACATTGTTTTATCCGGGAGTGGATTGATGAAGATATAAGTACTGAAAATTTACCTGATGAATTCTGATTACTGCGCTTGTCAACTACTCCCCTGTCAATAAATCAACCCTTTGGAAACGGGTGTGAAAAAAAATTCAGACAAGAACAAAATGTAATCTGTCATGGTAACAGGGGATACCCTGAATTGGTAATAACCGAAAGTAAACAACGAATTTGATGAAAGCAAAAAGACTGAGAGACGAAATACAAAGGAAAGGAACTAATCATAAAAGACAGATAATCATCCTATATAACAAAGGCCTACTAGAAACCATTCACTTCCCGTGGTATTGTAACCGCTATGGAACATCACCAGACTCTCAGAAATGCATATACTATCACAGAATTTTTATGCAAAATCGGATGCAAGACGCATCGGAGAAACTGGCGGGAGATTTGAATCCGACTTAACAAACATCAGGAAGACGCGGAATCTCAAGAAGGCATAAAAAAACTCACTGGATCAGATGAAAAGGAATTCTTAGTCCTAGATCAACAAATCGGCACTTATTGACAACGACTGGGAAAAGTCGACAGTGAATGTGGAGGTCATCTGAATACGCCGCAGCAGGTCAGGACTGGACATGGACGAGGGGATGGGTGGGCAGCAGGTCAGGACTGGACATGGACGAGGGGATGGGTGGGCTGGCACAGACCCTTGCACGATTGTAACCAAGAGCTGTCGATAATAGTACGAGAAAGTTGGTCCATCTCGGACACAACGTAAGTAAGTGCTAGACGCTTCACTTTGGTCTTTTGTCTGAGGAAAGTGACCATGTGGTCATTAAAACGTCATACTTCTATTCCATTTATACGTTATTGTGACGATATTATCTTGTACGAAACTTTCTTGTATCGGCTGTTTTTAACCTTACACAAATACATACGGTAACAGAATAAAACTATATATGAGATCAGTATCGGCACAAGAATTGATGTTCTCCTGTATCAATGTTACGACTATCACTTCATTTCAATGTGTTTATTACTTTATTCATATTGATACGTTAGGGTCGCAGTGACGTAAAGGGAGATAACTCCGGTGTCATCTAATTACAGAATGGTAGTGATATTTGTGAGAGCAAATTTCTTTCATGTCTTCTTTTTCATGAAAGTTATTATGTAATTACCATTTCGATATGCTTGATCTTACCGTGCTGATGAATGATCGATCACTTAGATATATTTATATTTGTGAAACACTGCTAATGGTAACAGACGTGTGTGATTAAATTGTTGATATATCGTCTCTAATGTAGACATCTCACTGTTTATTATCAGAATACTGGATGTAAAATATATCGGTATGTTCATCATTTTTTTAACTTGAATGAAGTAAAGAGAATATTGATAATAACGGACCCCGGTAAAACAATGGTATTAAGTCTTTGTGTAAATGGTTCACGTCTGTTCTTCAAACTTGGCCTCAAAAAGTCTCAAATATCAGCATATCACAGAAAAGCGTGTCCAATCATTGTATCGCGACGTTGTACTACATAAATGCCCCAGGCTGAAGAATTCTGCTCCCTTACCTAGACTCCGTACGTATTTACATCCAGTTTTTACATTAACGGGTTTTCATATGTGTATCAAGCGGATGACGAGAGGTGAAGCTGGGGTGTCCATACTGATACATCATTTCTTAATGAAGCGACGAGCGGTTACATACTAGAGTCACTTCCTAAATCTTGCCACGGTTTGTTCTAATACAGAATTAAGGCTGTTATTGGTGTTATTTATCTTAAATCGATATCGACTGTCCTGTATGGGCCTCTTGTTGTCGGATGAAGCGCGGCTGTCAGTCTAATGAGCATGCGTGTGTGGATGTGTGTGCTACAATCGCGTCCATTTCACCTTGACATCAGCTGCAGGAAAATACACGCTGTGTTGTTTGTATACTCAAACGAACAAAAATGCAGAGAATAATTGTAACAACTGTGATATTAGGCAGCCTGGCCACTGTAGGTATGTATTTCATATCCCATATTTTGTTAAAAGTTAAATTGTCTCGTTATATTTGGTGATATAAAGACGTAAATTTATTGTGTAAACGAGAAGAAACACCCCTTTTTGGAGTGTTTGTGATCCACAAATCGTTCTTTTATGTTTCCATGACTACGCGGTACAGCATACAAACTATGTGCTGACGGTTTTCATTGGCGAAATACGTGGTAACATCAACAGACCTTTGTTAAACAATTTCTTAGTGTGATAAGCCAACAATCCAGGCCACGTCGTCGTTACCACTTCACCATGACCTCTAAAAACATCGCCGAGGGTATTTACCTGAGAAAAAATTCACAACGAAATGAAATGTTCTGTGGATAAAACTTTCTTATAAATCATGTATTTTTTACAAAATGAAAAAATACAAATTGAAATTGGTACTGAATTTATTTTCCTTGACCAGTTAAGCTTATGATAAGCTGTGTATAGTCCTATACATCCGACATCTCTGCTCCCTATATGTGAAGGTCACATAATGCTTGGTAGATTGTGACATTGACGAATCTGCGGTACTCTAACCGAAGCAGTATGTCTAGGGGAAAAGTTGATAATTTTAAATAAAATCGCGTTTGTTTTCAGCCATGCGTGTTCGTCTAAGCCTTTCAGCACAGACATCGCTGCTGCAAGCCAATCAATAATGAATCATATATATATAACTTAATACAACCGCTGAACCCTTTCAGTGGCGAATGCACTGTTCTTGCTTGTGAGCAGACTATTCGATATGAAAATCAAGGGGGCGTAGTATAACGAAGTGTTCGACCAGCAGAGATCGGATGATAATTTACATCCTTCCGACTGACTCAGATTTTCACGACTCAATGTAGAATGTTTGGAACTGTTTTTATTTCTATATTAACACTTCTCACGTTAGACTGGCTACTAGACAATGAAATATTTGTAAAGGATTGCTCTTCGAAATTCTTGTGTTAGCTTATCTCCCCTTGGTTTGGCACTATAGTCAGACAACTCTCAGAGAAATATACAATTGGGTTGTCTTCCCCTGGTTTGTAACTATAGTCAGACTTATCTTGGAGAAATTTACAATTAGCTTATATCCCCCTAGTTTGGAACTTAAGTCAGACCTATCTCAGAGAAATTACAATCAGCTTATCTCCCCCTGGATTGGAACTATAGTCAGACCTATCTCAGAGAAATTACAATCAGCTTATCTCCCCCTGGGTTGGAACTATAGTCAGACCTATCTCAGAGAAATTTTTCAAGTAGCTTATCTCCCCCTGGATTGGAAATATAGTCAGACCTATCTCAGAGAAATTTTTCAAGTAGCTTATCTCCCCCTGGATTGGAGCTATAGTCAGACTTATCTCAGAGAAATTTACAATTAGCTTATATCCCCCTAGTTTGGAACTAAAGTAAGACCTATCTCAGAGAAATATACAATTAGCTTATCTTCCCCTAGTTTGGAACTAAAGTCAGACCTATCTCAGAGAAATTACAATCAGCTTATCTCCCCCTGGGTAGGGACAGACCTATCTCAGAGAACTATGGATTGGAACTATAGACAGACCTATCTCAGAGAAATTTTTCAAGTAGCTTATCTCCCCCTGGATTGGAACTATAGTCAGACCTATCTCAGAGAAATTTTTCAAGTAGCTTATCTCCCCCTGGATTGGAACTATAGTCAGACCTATCTCAGAGAAATTACAATCAGCTTATCTCTCCCTGGTTTGGAACTATAGTCAGACCACTCTCAGAGAAATTTACAATCAGCTTATCTCTCCCTGGTTTTCAACTATAGTCAGACCTATCTCAGAAATTTACGATCATCTTATCTCCCCCTGGTTTGGAACTATAGTCAGACTTACAGAAAATGTAAAGACGATAAAGAATATATCAAATTATAGTATTTCGTTTTTATGACTGAGGCGGACTGTTGTATAATGTTTGTTATGTGATTAAATTTGTTATCTGATCCTTGACATAAGTACCGACTTAACAGATAACTGGATCCTGTCCAAAATAAGACCACTTTGTCAAGTACACAGTAACGATTAGACGCCAGTGATAAAATATTTGTATTTCGTAATCGTATGTATAAGAATGGTGTATTAAATGATAATGGTTTAACAATACGCCTTAGCATCACTGACATGTTCTAGAATGACAAAGCGTGTGTGATGCAATTTAATTCTACAACACAACTTTATCGAAACGAACGTTTTGTAGAATTCTGTATCCCAGGAAAATACTAGCCACAATGCATTGCTCGGTTAGTAACATCGCTTACGCTCGATCGGTTGGGCGCAAAACTGGCTGGATCCCAGGGGAGCATGTCCGATTATTTGGTGGTAGATCACACTGGTGGATTTCAGTCCCGGAGGTTTGCCGCGATGTCGCATGTCAGATTTTAATTCATACACGCTATTATTTTTGAAATCACGCAATAATGAAAGTTATAATGAAATCTAAAATTTAAATGTTTGGGTTCGTGCATTTTGCCGTCTTTATTTTGTCGTTTATGTAGCCTGATAAGTTTGAACACTTTCGGTCCTCACTTGGACGCAATTTAATTAACAATCTGGCTGTAATGTATATTTTCCAATTTTGCCACACATACAATTATAAATCTCTGTTTAGAGAGCTGTAGCTGCTGACCAACCTTTTTGGTAACTGGGACAATGCATTTTTAATTGCAGACTGATGGAGAGCTGAGTAAAGTAAAAGTCCTTGGTAGATACTTTTCTGGGCTAATTACTATAACATCGTTTTCTCTGTGCCGTGATTGCTGAAATGTTTTACTGTGTATAAATGTATATCAAGTATCCCCCTAGGCGGCGCCTGATGGAGCTGTTTGTCATCTTCATGTAGATTTCGTGACATACAGATAGGAATTTATGCACATCAAGAAAACATGTATATATATAATAGCAATACCTTCCCGACATTTCGAATAATTAACACATATTTATTGCGAGAATGTGTCATTTGTTTTCGCGTGTCCTAATATTGGAAAAAAAGGACAATAAGTGTTCCCTGAATTCACAAGAATCAGTATCAATTGTAAAATGTCAATAACTGAAACATTCTGCTGATACCGTCCTTTGTATATTAACATTCTGCTGATACAGAGTTGGTGTTGAGACCCTGTTACTGTTGATACAGGGTTGATGTTGAGACCCCTTACTGTTGATACAAGATTGGTGTTGAGACCCTGTTACTGCTGATACGGGGTTGGTGTTGAGACTCTGTTACTGCTGATACGGGGTTGGTGTTGAGACCCTGTTACCAATATGACAGGGGTTGTGTTGAGACCCCGTTATTGTTGATACGGGGTTGGTGTTGAGACCCTGTTACTGTTGATACCGGGTTGGTGTTGAGACCCTGTTACCAATATGACAGGGGTTGTGTTGAGACCCCATTATTGTTGATACGGGGTTGGTGTTGAGACCCTGTTACTGTTGATACGGGGTTGGTGTTGAGACCCCGTTACTGTTGATACAGGGTTGGTGTTGAGACCCTGTTACCAATGTGACAGGGTTTGTGTTGACCCTGTTACCAGGATTGGTGTTACTGTTACTGCTGATACAGAGTTGGTGTTGAGACCCTGTTACTGTTGAGGGTTGGTGTTGTTACCAATGTGACAGGGTTTGTGTTGAGACCCTGTTACTGCTGATACAGGGTTGGTATTGAGACCCCGTTACTGTTGATACGGGGTTGGTGTTGAGACCCCGTTACTGCTGATACTGGGTTGGTGTTACTGTTACTGATATTGGTGTTGAGACTCTGTTACTGTTGATACAGGGTTGGTGTTGAGACCCTGTTACCAATGTGACAGGGTTTGTGTTGAGACCCTGTTACTGTTGATACAGGATTGGTGTTGAGACTCTGTTATTGTTGATAAAGGGGTTGGTGTTGAGTCCCTGTTACTGCTGATACAGGGTTGGTATTGAGACCCTGTTACCAATGTGACAGGGTTTGTGTTGAGACCCTGTTACTGCTGATATAGGGTTGGTATTGAGACTCTGTTACCAATGTGACAGGGTTTGTGTTACTGTTACTGATACAGGGTTGCTGATACAGGGTTGGTATTGAGACTCTGTTACCAATATTACAGGGTTGGTGTTGAGACTCTGTTACTGCTGATACAGAGTTGGTATTGAGACTCTGTTACTGTTGATACGGGGTTGGTGTTGAGACCCTGTTACTGCTGATACAGGGTTGGTGTTGAGACCCTGTTACTGTTGATACAGGGTTGGTGGTGTTGATACCTTGTTACTGTTGATTCAGGGTTGGTGTTGAGACCCTGTTACTGTTGATACAGGGTTGGTGTTGAGACCTGTTACTGTACACGGGGTTGGTGTTGAGACCCCGTTACTGTTGATACAGGGTTGGTGTTGAGACCCTGTTACCAATGTGACAGGGTTTGTGTTGAGACCCTGTTACTGTTGATACAGGATTGGTGTTGAGACTCTGTTATTGTTGATATAGGGTTGGTGTTGAGACCCTGTTACTGCTGATACAGGGTTGGTATTGAGACCCTGTTACCAATGTGACAGGGTTTGTGTTGAGACCCTGTTACTGCTGATACAGGGTTGGTGTTGAGACCCTGTTACTGTTGATACAGGGTTGGTGTTGAGACCCTGTTACTGTTGATACAGGGTTGGTGTTGAGACCCTGTTACCAATGTGACAGGGTTTGTGTTGAGACCCTGTTACTGTTGATACAGGATTGGTGTTGAGACTGTTACTGATATAGGGTTGGTATTGAGATACAATGTGACAGGGTTTGTGTTGAGACCCTGTTACTGCTGATACAGGGTTGGTGTTGAGACCCTGTTACCAATGATGACAGGGTTTGTGTTGAGACCCTGTTACTGTTGATACAGGAGTTGAGACCCTGTGTTGAGACCCTGTTACTGTTGATACAGGATTGGTGTTGAGACTGTTACTGTTACTGTTGATACCAATGTGGGGTTTGTGACCCTTACAGGATTGGTG